TCTCACCTTCCATGCTTTTAATCTCTGCCTCTCTGTGCTGAGTCCTAATGTATGAAGCTGTGTTTTCTATCGCTGCTTTTCTCTTCAGCTGTGTCTAAAACTCTGTCTAAACCTTCTGGAGTTTTTAAATTCTATTTCATTCTTCACTGCTAGATGGTTTAGAAATGTGGCTCCTTTGCAAATTTATTCGGTAATGGTTGATAGCCTTGTGTTCCCTTGCCGTATTTACATTAAATGTTTTTATTTCTTGAAACATATTAATCCTTTTATATGTATATATTTTGTGCAATCCAAGATGTCACTGATTATAAGAAACACCCCCCATTTATGTATCACTAAGAAAAAGAAAAGGCTCTCTCTGTGACTGGTAAGTGTTCTTACGATATCCCTCTATGGAAAAATATTTTTTCTTCTTTATTCAATACATTGAGGACACAAACCCATCTTTGGAAACTGATCAAACATCTAGCCATTCTTCTTGCCATTTCCCTGTAATCTGAATTAAGGCTTAAGTTTTAGGACTGTAATGGGAGATATCAGAGAGGTGGTGACTCTAATATAATAACAAATTCAAATAAAAGCCTAGTTTGGTAATATAACATTCAGTTACAAAGTTATTTTAAAATATCTTTCATTCTTTTTTTATCTGTTTATGACACCATCTTTTTCTTTGAATTTGCAAGTCAATACATCAGATATGGATGACATAATGAATACCATTTGCATATTCTTTATTGTCCAAAGAATGTGTACTTTCAACCGTGTGTCTGGAGGTGGTGATGGGCTGCTCGGAGTAACACACATTTCCGCCCCCTAGTCGATCTGCCGCCCATGCTGTACATTCGTAAGACAGTGATGCAGACACTGGCCCGCAGTGTCTGTGTCATTATGGGTGAAATGAGACACTCACATGGACTACCGAGTCCGGTGGAGGAAAAGGGACAGCATGGCTTTTGTCTCAAGGGGAGCAAAAGCCTCAGCCTCAGCCATGACAGGCCTCTGTTGGGTTTCCTCCACCCATTACATGATCATCCCCATTTACTGTGCACAGGTTCGCTTTAGGTGGGTACCTTTTACAGAAAACAAAGGAGCCAATGCTGCTAATCACATCACAGCAGAGGGATATTTGCAAATGAAAAGACAAACGTGGTTGAACCAGTTACACTCATCCTTGGAAGGTTTAGCGTGGATTTTAGGAAGTTGCTTTGCAATAAAGGTCCTCAATTCAGGGTGAGGGAGTTTTAGCAAAAAGCAAGACTCATAGCGGCCTAAGTACATTTGCAGGCCTGATTCCCCACAGGAGAACCTATCTGTGGGCGTGGGTCCTGTGCATCTCCAAGTGGGAGCTGGGCCCTCGCCACGCAGAACAGTCTACTACAGGACAGTGGGGAGATTTAGGTGGAATCTGTGGCTATGGCAATGGAATAAAGTTACGTGGCCCACAACGGGCTAAAACCTGTTCCCTGGCCCCTGTCAATACCTCGAGGCTCTTCCTTGATGGCATTGCGCCCACTCGGCTCTCTCTGCTGCTGCCAGTAGCCTGGAAGAGGGCCGTGCCTGTCACGTGATCCTGGTGCTGGCTGTCAGCCCCGAGCTCCTTCATCCTTGGATCATTTTATCCCTCCGCCCTGAACGCTGGCCACCTCATCCGGCAGCACCGTCCGCTGTCCGCCGTCCTCTGCACCTCCACGGGGCCAGGAGACGTTCTGGGTCTCTTCTATTCCGTATGGGATCGGGTCATGGGGCACTCGGGGTCATGCTCTTAAGTTGAATCCCAGGACAGGAGAGGATCCATGTCAACTCACACCTCTGCTTTCTTCCCCATAGCCAGCCGAGTCAGAGGCGTTCACATTTCTCGTTTTTGTTCGTCCCGCCTTCTGAGTTTTTAAACCTGTGAGGCCTGGTTCTTCATGTGGGAATGGGTCCTCTGACATTTTAGAACAATTTCGCTTAAAAGTCAACTATCTCGTGAAGCTCAATGTTTCTAGTAAGTATGCAAATGAGAAAGGCTTGAGATTGTTTTCTGGATACTGGAACAAATAATCACAAGGAAGAAGCCATTTGTCATGTGTCCTGGGTCACTCCATCCTCCTCCTCCTTTGAGACCCGGATGGGGAAGCAGGAGAAAGTCAGGGAGGCAAAAGCTGGTGAGGCTCCTGTGGGGGTGGGGCCTTGGAGATCAGAGCCTCTGGGGTGATGGCCCTTTGACTTACTGTGAAAGAAAAGTCACTGGAGGAGCCAGGAGTGGCATGACCAGATTCATGTCCTAACAGAGTCCCCCACCCCCACACTGTGCTACAAATAGACTCCAGTGGAGCAAGGCTGGAAGCCCTAGTGATAAAGGGAATGTCAGCCATGGTCTTGGGAGAAACTGTTAAATTCTGCCCAGTCACGCAGCACATAATAATGTGTCAGTAAACAAGAGACCACAGTTGTGACGGTAGTCCCAGGCAGGGGGCAAGTCCGAGCAAGCAGACCTACACCCTTTTCTGTTTCTCCCGAGACGAGTGTGCTCTAGCTGTTTCTAGCCCCAAATTTCTGTCATTTCTTTGTGAACTTTGATGCCGTTGGTATTTCAGAGTCATCCTATGTACAGAACATTTAAGTTATTTCTCCATAAGGTGTTTTTATGTAAACTTCACAAAACCCTACAGCTTGCAAAGCAAAACTGTGTTTTAATACAAAAACACCTTTCTCTTTTAAAAAAACCAAACTCTATCCTTTCTTCTGTGTTTGTTCCTTTTCATTGTAAATGCATATTGACTTATTCATACATATTGCCAAAAAATGTAAAAAACAGAATGGTTGCATATAAAAATTTAAAATCTCCAGCTCCTTATTCTTTAGTGTTATTTCCTATGAGGTTAAAACATTTCTTAAAAATTAGTATTTTAATTTGGGGATGGGTCATTCAGATGGTGCAAACATGCAAAACCCATAAAAAGGTGACATTACCCCATAGGTCCCATTACCCCACAACAGGTGATCATTAGGATTGGTTTTGTTTGTCCTCCCAGAAACGTCGTATGTGCATCTAAGCCGATACGTATTTTTCACCTTTTACACAAATGATGAGTCATTACACCTATTAGTATTTTGACAGTTGACTTCTGCCCACTTAATGATATAATTTAGAGCCCTTTATCGCTATGTAAAGATCTTCCTCATTTTTTATGTAGCTAATATTATTATAAGTAAATATATCAGTATACCATAATACATTTTCCCTGTCCCCATTTAATAAAATTTAAATAGTCTTCAACCCTTTATTCTTAGAAACAATAATTCAATGAAAAACCTTTTCTACAAGTCACTTACCAGGTATGCAAGTTTATTGGTAGTGTGTGTTCCTATCAGAGGACTCTATGCATGGAAATACAGAAAGATAAACATATTTATAATTTTGAGACTACCAAATTCTCCTTTGTAGTGGTGAAACTAAGTTACACTCCCCTCAACCATCTTCGAGATTACCTGTCGACTCATTCCCAGAGAGTAAATGTATTGTCACCCTCTTGGATTAGTTTCTAGTATGACATTGAACAGGATATCTCACTGTTGTTTTAATATACATTTCTTGTATGAGTTAATTTTAGCATCTTTTACGTGTCTGAGCCATTTGCATTTCCCTTTCTCTGAATTCCCTGTTCACACCTTTTGCCTGTTTTTCTATGAAGTTGTTGATCTTTTTCTTCTTAATCTGTATTTGTTCATTTTAAATTCAGGAAAGGAGCTTTGATGAGTTGCAGTAATTTCCCTAGATTACCTTTTTTGTTGTTGCTGCTTTGCTTAGAGTGTTTTTTACTTCCATGCATAAGTTTAGTTGTTTGACTTCTAGGATTTATTTTAGAAAGGTTTGTAGTTATAAATTCTTATACATTTTCCTTCTGTCCTTTGTAGTTTCATTTTTTATAGCTGCAGATTGATACATATACAATTACATATTGATAGTTATTCTAGCACTCTTGGGCCCTAGTTTTTCCTTTAAAACCAAAATTAAATTGTTCTAATCTTATTAAATATTCCATTTTTTCTTCCTCTTGTATGAAATTCTATCTTTATTAGAGTCTAAAATATCAAATAAATTAAAGACTAATTCAGAATTTTCTCCTGTTTTATTAGATTGTCTCTTCATGCTCCTGACCATGTCACTGTGACTAAGAGTCGAGAGTAGGATTTTATTCTCTGCAAATAATTTATCTTATTTTTCTATTAAAAAAACACATTTTCTTGGTTCTTAATTTTTCCAAATAAAATCTAGAATCACCCTTACTATTTCTGGAAAAAAGAAACATGTATTTTTTCACTGGAATTAGATTTAATGTCTAAATTATTTAGGAAGCCTGATGGCTTCATATATATATTTTCCTAACCAAGAACAAGGTAGTTTTTTTTCCATATGCCTGGGTGTTATTTCATACTCTTTATAAGTATTTTCAGGCATATTCATATATGTCTTCCACATTTATTAAATCATTAAATAGATTAAATTTATTTTAGCCATATATGGGGTCTTTCACTAAATGATTGTTATATCACAAAAGCTGTTGTTTTCTGTATACTTACTTTCTATACCACTATCTCAGTTTTTAGTTGAGTCTCTTGGGTATATACTTGTAGCCTCTGGAATAGTAATAGTTTTCCTCCTTTCCAATTTTTACTGTCATTTTTTTGCTTGTCTAATTGTGTTGGCTAATCTCTCCAGTACAATAAGTTAAGTGAGAAGGATAATAGTGGTCATCCCTTTCTTGCTTTTGATATAAGTAGGATTGTCATTAGTTTTCTCCACTGAGTGTGTGTTGACTTTGGAGCTGGGTTTTCAGTCCAGTGATTGGATTTGGGGATTTGGAGAAAAGTATATTTGGAACACAAACCTTGAATCAGCAGTCTTTATTCCCAGTGGCACAGTGCTCAGTGTATCCTCTGCTGAAGTTTCAAAGGGCAGATAAGCTTGGACAATTTTCAACACAACTCATCAGAAAATTAGAAAGATTCTTTAATATTTCTGTACACATTATTTTATTTAGTACAATCTCTGCCACTTAAAAATTAGGTGCCCACCCCCAATCAGTATGTTCTTATTTATGAATACTTGTAGAAACCTCTGGAATTTCTGTTCAAGTTTTCTGTTTTAGACAGACATTACACTGATATAGCAATAAAATACCTATCTGGGTCCTAACAGGAAGAAAGCACATTGTCTCTTGTTGAGCCACTAGGAATTGAGATGAATGTCATTCTGGGGACACACAGGAGTGTCTGGAATTATCGCTGAGGTAGTTTCAACAATAAAGCTCAGCAAAGCTCAAAGTAAAAAATTATCATAAAAAATCCAATTGTGATATTATCACATAAAAGCTTGTTCATAATGCTAAGTTATCAAGATCGGAGAGGAGTCCTTAGAAACGGGACCAAACTTTGTAATTCTCTTAGAGAACTGTTATACAGAAACACTCTTAATGGAAGAAAAAGGAAAATGACTCATGTGACCAAAAATGTTCCACGTGCTGCCTGTTTTGGTAGGATGAAACACGTGTCTAAGCCAGGAAGCAGGGTCCGTGCTGTTGGCACTTCTGCGCACAGATGGGGAACATCAGCTCCAGGACGGTGGTCTCTTTCCATGCCATTGTCCTGTCCTTGCAAGTGCTCGGAACAGAATTTTTCAGTCACCGCCATCCACCGGGGTCCCAACGTGGGCTGTTTAATTGAGATTCGTGGGTCCTGTCAACTGCATCTAGTTCAGCTGCCCATAAAGATATCTGGTCTGAAGCTGGGATTTTGTTGTGGTTTTGAAAAAGTTCATCGGAATCCAGACTTGTGATGAGTGTCAATTTATGGCACTCAACGACATTGTGACCAGCACGGTTCTGGCTCAGAGGCTGTAGTCATTAACATAAGATTAGATGGCATCCCTGGGGCCCTCTGGGTGTGGCTCTTGTGCACTCTGACTTAGGGGAGAGCTCTGCGCTTCCCTTCGGCATTTGACTGAGTAGATAGTGTATATGCTTCTAATGAGGAAAATCCCAGCAATGACGGCAAAATAACTCCCGTAAACCAAAAACTGTGGAAAAACAAATAGAATTAGATACACGTAATAGCTGACCATCTTTGCGATTGATTATTCATAGTGATGCCATTGATTTGCTTGGATTAGGGAACAACTGAGACCTGGGACCTTAATATGGGATATTCAGGTTTGCACAGTACTTTCTTCTGCCAACTTGGAAGAACCAGGTATGAAAGCGTTAGCCATACAGTAACTAAGAGTGCGGGCTCTGGAGCCAGGGTGGCTTGGTTCATGGTTTAGCTCACCTTGCCAATGGTGGAAAAGTACGAACTCCCACTGACCTATGCACCTGCGTTTGTAGGATGGTACAGTGCTATGTGCAATGTCTCCAGTAACAAATCTCAGACATTGAGGATACTTTTTACCTATCTTATACCCCCCTTTTTCAGATCCTCATATAAAATGTGAGGTTGAGCTACTTTTAAGCCCCTCAGGAGCACGGGGAACAGGGAACAGAGGTCTGCAGCCAGGTGAGCCTCCTGGTTAAACCTCAGTAAGCCTCGGAACCAGATGGTGGGAGGAAGAAGAGGCATCTGGGGACACAATGACGTGTTACCTGACGATGTTTTAGGAGCCAAAGATAAATGCTGACTTACTGCGATTATTGCTCGAAACTACTTGGTGTGTTATACTGGTAACTGAGGAGTTTCTTGTTTTAAAATTTGCCTAGCCAAGGAATTTGAGAAATTTAAGCATTTAGGCAGTGGTAAGGGTATAGGATCCTTTGAGAGGACCTCGTTCCTCTCCATTCCCACCGAGTATGAAGAGCAGTTTTGCAGCTTACCTGAATGCTGACTGGCAGGTTGAGCCCTCTCGGGTCCACTACGATCACAGTTACAAGGGTCTGAATCACCAGGGCAAGGAAGGTGTTGATTCCGAACACCAGGGCATATCGTTCCACACTCAGGTTGACGGCAATCTGAAATCTGTCATTAAACATTAAGTATGTTTTTCACAAGAGTAGACATGGGATTCTTATCTTTAAAAGACAAAAAATAAAATAAAATAAATGCAGCCTGCCGGATGGGAAGGAGATTGAGGGGATGAATGAAAAGGGGAAGGAATTAAAATGTACAAGGTGCCAGTTATAGAAAGTCACAGGAAGTACAGAATAGAGGATTTAGTCAATTATATTGCAATAATTATATATGAGTGTCCGATGAGTGCTTGACTTAGGGGTCATTACTTTGTAAGTTATATGAATGTCTAGTCACTGTGTTGTATTCCTGAAACTGGTATAATATTGTGGGTCAACTATAACTGGAAAAAAAAAGACAAAAGAGTGTCTTTATTGTTTTGCATTTAAACCAATATTTATTATTATTATTTATTATTTAATTTTATTTTTCAAACACAGTTTGCATTCAATACCACCCTGCACCAGTTTCAGACGTACAGCACAGGTGCAGGAAAACCCTGCACGCTACAGAGTGGTGCCCCTGCTCCTCCAAGGACCCCCCACCCCAGACCCAGTTTTGACATTACTGGCTGTGTTCCCCAGGCTGCAATCCACATCTCTGTGTCTATTCTGCAGCCGCCACTTTGTCCTGCTTCATCCCTCCTCCTTCTTCCTGCAGCCCTCAGCCCCTTCCTCTCCGACAGCCGTCAGTCCGTTCTCTGTGTCTGTGAGTCTGCTTCTACTCGGTTTATTTAGTTCATTAAATCTCACATGTAAGTGAAATCATGTGGTATTTGTCTTTGTCTGACTGGCTTATTTCTTGTTAACAGCAATTCTCAATGAAATCTCCTCCAGTGCAGATAAACAGACAGGGCAAAGAAAGGGAGTTTTAAAATAGATAAAGGCTTAATTAAATGAGTTATAGGAAAGATACCAAATTCCTCCTATCCAAACTAATACTTCCAGAAATTAAGCCTAAATGTTCTAAGCTCTCATAACTTTGGATATTGGACGTAATATGATCTTAGTGTTTTATAGTGGATTTTTATAAAAATGCATGCAACACCAAATCTGAGGAATTTTTTAGAGTTATTCATTTTATTGTCAATTTTTTGTTTTGAAAGTGTCAAAATTTGGTGTGAATTATTCTTTTTTTTAAAGATTTTATTTATTTATTTCTTTATTTATGTATTTATTTATTTATTTATAGAGAGGGAAGGGAGGGAGAGAGGGAGAGAGAGAGAGAGAGAGAGAGTGAGAGAGAAACATCAATGTGTGGTTGCTGGGGGTCATGGCCTGTAACCCAGGCATGTACCCTGACTGGGAATCAAACCTGCGACACTTTGGTTCACAGCCCACGCTCAATCCACTGAGCTACGCCAGCCATGTGAATTATTCTTTGGAAGAGCCAGACCATGACTGGTTGTAGAGTTGAGTCTGTAATTAATTTTTAATAAATAATAGATTTTGAAATCTTAAAACACTTCTGAAAGACTGAAAAATGTGTTACTTAGAGTTCTCCCTTGGAATGCAGGTAAAGGCTTTGTCTTCTGAATATTCTTACAATGAAAAGAAATAATACAATGCCACCTTAACCAAATGCTCACATTAAAAAAAGAAATTCAAGACACATGAGTTGGAATCATTAAATGACACATTTCAGTGAAAAAAAATAAACTTGTTAACAAGTTTCATCTCTGCCATTTCACAGTCTTTCCCCAGGGTGCTCATAATTCTGTGCCCTGTCAATTACTTATCAAACATTTTTCACAAATGAAAAAACAAAACCTGATACAGTTTTTGTCTTTACTTTGTTTATGTGATTTTAAATGCAAATGTTTCTTCTTTTTTTTTGGTTACCACTAAAGTACATCTCCTACACAGTCAGCTTTCCTTGTGCTGAGATGTAGAACCAAATGTTTCTAACTGTTCTTTAAAAAAATGATCCCTGGAATCTAGTTGCTAATAATCTTTGCACCTGCATTTTTTGATGTCTGACTTTTTATAACTTGCTAAGATTATTTTGTTTCGGAAACATGCTTGGAATTACTCGAGCAACCACGTGAAATCAGGGCTGAAACTTAAACTGAATCATTCACAGTCCGATTCCATCCCACGTTGCTATGGCAAATTGCTTGGAATAAAAAAATCACAACCTGACCATGTATCATTGCTCTTGGTTGATGAACTGACAGAAATTTCTTTCTTTTTTCTTTTGAGAATTTTTATAAGAGTTTACTGGAGCCAAATGATGGCATATGCCTGGGAGCAAGATCTCACATTCACCAAAGAGTAACTTTTGTTTTTTTGCACCTTCTTTCTTGCATCTGAAAGGTAAGAGGGAAACTAAGGCTGTGGGAGGAAGCGAGGCCAGGACTGGACTGCAGGGCAGTTCACAAGATCACGTGCTTCCTTGAAGGAGGTTACCCTCATTTCATCTAGGTGAACACACCTAGATGCCCAGAAACAACGGACAGGGCTTGCTGAGGCAGAGAGACACCTTGTCCTAGAAAGTGTGTGCCCGGGGTATTACCACCCACTGAGACCTGCCCAGTGAGGAACTTCCTTCCTTGATGACTATTCTTAGTAATATTCAGATGGCAAATAGTGAAATAAAAAGATGGCTTAAGTGTGTCTAATTTAATATGAAGTAGTCAACATTTAAAATTGCAATTAATTAAAATCCCCCTGAGGTTCTCTGAGGTACTGGAAGCTTATAGAAGAGAGAGCAGGGTTTAGTTCTAGGAGTGGACACAGATGGCTGGTAATACTTACACTGCTATGGTGATAAGAAGCATGTAGCTGGACTTGAATATCAAGTAGCCAGCATAGCATGCCCAGATGCTGGTTGTGTAGTGCATGAGAAATAGGGAGCCGGCATTGACCACGGAGAAGACCGCCAGGGCCAGCTCTCCCAGAAGGTCCCAGTTGACTTTCACATAACCCACTGCGAAGGCAGCCACGGCCCCTGACAAAGAAACAACACAGAAGATCAACCACGTTGGCCTTGCACGTGGGAAATATCAGCGCGCGCTTTTGGAAACGCAGGTCCTGGGTAATTCTAAAAGATGAATACACGTATATTGCTTTCACAGTTTATGAAAATAGTGTGATCCACTTCAGTGAGGGTTTATCCTTTTCTCCACCATGTTTTCCTTTGGCTTCTCTCTTACTTCCTATTCTTTGACTCATTTAGTTGCCACACTTTTTATTAGTGTCGTCTCTGTGCCACACACTGTACCAGCCAGAGGGCTGGGAAGGTTCCTGACCACGGCGGAGTGGGGAGAAATGAGACCTGAACCCATTCATTCAATACAACATGGGGGGAGTAAGGGTAGGAGAGGATGAAATAGTTGCTCTGGAGGTACTCCCAGCCCATCTGTATTTGCCTTTATCATTTTTTATAGTAAGTGTTTTTTAAAGATTTTATTTACTTATTTTTAGAGAGGGGAAGGGAAGAAGAAAGAGAGGGAGAAATGCGTGGCTTGTGCGCCCCCCACTGGGGCCCTGGCCTGTAACCCAGGCCTGTGCCCTGACTAGGAACTGAACTGGCGACCCTTTGGTTTGCAGGCCGGCACTCAATCCACGGAGCCACACCCACCAGGGCTATAGTTAAGTTTTTTTTTTTCAATGATGAGTAACAGATGTGTTGCACTGGGGAGTAAGTCTTCGTCTTTATTATTATTTATATACTTATATTTTATTATGCTTACATGTTATTTATATTAATCTTATTTATACAATGGTTGAATTATAATTATTATAAATAACGTAAGTCTTTATTAATCTTAATCTTAATTCTAGTGTCCATCTTAACATCTTCAAATCTGGCCTAATTTGCTTGTGGTTTTGAGTGAACCGCTTTCTACTGATTTGCAGAGCTTAAGAGGTCAAATAATTGACTGTAGTTAGGTATTTATGTTTCAAACTACTGACGTGTGGTTAGTGAACTTCGTCACATTTGATCTGAGAAAGAGCGACTCCTGCAAAGGAAACAGAAAGCCGTTCTTCCCCTTAGACTTCGGACGCGGGAGGAAGGACCTCGGAGCCGCATGCTGGCACAGCGCGGGTTCCCAGGAGTTCCTCTCAAGTCTCCCAGAGGGGGGGCAACAATAAACAGGTGCCGCATGAGTTTTCTGAAACTTTTTGTGAGCGAGGGTGTGGACATCTCCCACTTCCTACAAAATAGCTTCAAAGTCTTACTTGACATTCAAGTTTCCACTCACCAGATTACAAATATTTACTGTAGAGCCAAGTTCAAAGGCAGATTTCCCACTGATCTCAGAATCCTGACTCTCACGTCTCTCCCGCTCCTTACTGAAATCTCATCAGAAAGCGACTTTCGAACATTTTTGGTGTACAGACTGGAATCTCTAAAGGTGGGTGCTATGTAAACCAAATTCTTTAGTAAGCAAAACTCTTCCAGGGATAATTTAGAAGCCTTAACAGTTTAGCTCATTTTCTAAAGTAAGAAAAACTCCTACTTATATTCAAGATGTGTACTTGCCTTTTGGCATTAAAAACAATTCTAGAAGAACAGAGAGCATTGTTAGGACTTTTCCTGATGCTGAAATGAAATCTTAGGAATGTGGCCACAATTCAATTGTTTGGTGCTCAATCCTGAGCTCCCGAGCTACCTGTTGCAACCGTAACACATAAAACAGAATTGTCATGTTCCCCGTTTCTTCTCCCAGCACCTTCCATTTCTATGAAGGTTAATGTGCCCTCTGAACAGAGCTATTTTACTACCAGGGGAAGTTTAGCAAATGGGAAAACGAACTTAATGGGGGTGTCCCATCAAAGGAAGAGTAATCAATGCACACTTACCTCCGAAGGTTGCAATAGCTTCTACTGCCCCATTATAGACGGAAGAATTTTGGGACGGTGCCTTATAGTCCCACAGGATTTGAACATAGTTCACAACCTGGTTAAAACCTGCTGTGGAAAGAGCCCACCACAGGGACCAGTAAAAAAGACGGTTGGAGGAGTAGCACTCCTTCAGATCTTGGAACCACTGCACAAAAACTCTCACAGCGACATTGTCCGGCTTTGGGCCACTCAGCAGCCCACCATCCCAGTTCCCCGAAGAGGCGGCTATTTCCGGAGCGGGTTTCTCCTCATTGCAGTGGGGTGCTTTGTCCCCACGTGGCTCGTCTGACACGGCATTCGTGCTTGATGGCTTCTGGACGTCTTTGCTGGCTTTTGCATGGAAAAACATGCTTTTCCTGGGCATTGGTAGAAAAAGTGAGGACAGGAAAGCCACAGAGACAGAGGCCAAGGATATGACATTGAGGTAGAAGTACGATAAGTTGACCAGGGACACCAAGACTTGGGCCAGCACTGAGCCCGCCGTGTAGGCCACCAGCGTGATGGCCCTGCAGTAGCCGCTCACTCTCTGGTAGTGCTCTGGGCTGACCATGCTGTAGATGTAGGCATAGTAGGCCACCTCGGTGGCGGTGACCATCCCGTAGAAGAACTCCACGACCTGCATGACTTGCACTCCTTGGCCGAACAGGAGCAGCAGCCAGGTAATGATGTAGCTGATCCCCTGGAGGACGATGACTGGCTTGTAGCGGACGAAATCCGTGAGGATGAACACAGGGAGCAGCAGCACCAGGTAAGAGTATGTCCACACGGGAAAGATCTCATTGGTTATCTGTGAAGGTGGAACACGAGTCGTGGGGCCACGGGAGCACCGGGAAGTGAGAAGAGCACCTTTCTCAGCTACGTGCACACTAAGGTACATGTCGCTGGTGCAATACCAAAGTTTGCATCCAGTCCGATAGGAGGGGTATTCTTCAGATTATGGAAAACAACTTTAGAAAAGGGATTGTCAAGAAAGCCACTAGGAAAACAGAGATCCCCTTGCCCTGCAAAAATAATCATATACTTATGTGCATCCCAGCAGGAGAATATATGTACAACCTGAACTATATTGTGTTCAGATAATGTACACAGTTGAGCAAATCAGTTAAAACTTGCTAAACACACTTCTGTTTTTTTCAGGCTCTTAGACAAATACCACGCTCTTTCTGTTCAAGGATTAACATTAGATAAAGAGGCTACAATGCTGAAACAATCTGACAAGCTTTATCTTCATTTGACTTATCACTATGTCAAAAATGTCAGCCCTTCCCAAGTCTGGATAAATATATACATGAAGCTCAAAGAGTAAATAACCTTGCAGGATTATGGAGTGGGAAATAGTAATGCCTTTAATATCCTTCCTGGTCACATTTTCTGGGCTCTCTAACCCTCTTTCTTCCAATTCTACTGATTTGTTTCAGTTCTGGCCTCCATTTAGTATGGGCTAGCTGTATCATGGATTTAGTCAGAAATGCAGGGACCTCAAGGTTCATTCACAGAGAGGAAGGATTGAAGAAACTGTTGACTTTTGGATCATGATGGGTGCAGGTCATACCAGCCTTTGCTCTATCCCTTTTCCTATCCCTGCAGAAGGGTTTAAATGCCAATGTTGATGGAAAGTTCAGTTATTAGACAGGCTAATCACTGAATCAGGGGGGCAACTGAGCTGTGCTTTGGAGGATGGATACATTAACTAGTCCCTAGTGGTCGCAGAAGCAGACCCTAGGAGATTCACTGGCTGATTCTGAACCCGTGTCTGTCATTTCTTTTGCCTTAATCATGGCATGCTTCCATCTGGGGATCTTTGGAACACAGTTGCCCCTAAGTGATTTTACACCACAGCATAAGTTCACCTCTCTGTCCTTGCCACCTTGTCACCAAGGAAACCAGCATCAATTCATCTTCCCAGTGAAACCACAGCCTCTGCAATGTTTTCTTAGCTCTGGCTGGAGACTTTAAATCTAGCCTAGGGCAATTCTCCACTTGGGCCATTTTCTGTTGCACTTGTTATGTATATAAAAAAAGAAGTAGATCATTTAAGTAAGAGAATTTGGTTTTCTGGGGCAGATAATGCTGGTAGATCGTTTTTTTCAAAACTGAGTGTCGTAAAGAAAGGCAACAATTCTTTATCAGAGTCTCCTTATCCGCCAGCAGCCTGGAAATGTACTAGGACTGGATGTAGTGCCTGGCAGGGATTTTATTTCAGGATTAGTCTAACAGACTCGATGGAGAATCCGGTATCACAGAATTGACAGAGACTTGAAAGGTTCTTAGGTGGTAAGACCAATGCCAGAACTCTAAAAAAGTTAAAATATTTGTTACACCTGTAATGTATTTTGGTTTCCCATTTTTTTTTGTAAGTCTTGGGGGGAAGGAGTAGTTTGAATGGTTCTATTCAAATAGCAGCTACCACGAGGATGGGATTCATTGAAGTCAGTGTGTTAATCGTATTTCAAGTTGCATTAAGCCGTGTCTCTGCTCTTGCTCAAGTCCTACAAAATTAAACCGCATTAAGACATGTGTGGGTACTCACTTACCTCTGCGCTGGTCAGGTTTTTATCTGGTCCAGATAAATATGGGATAAGGAAGGGTTCCGAGGGTCTCATCATGGAGAAAAACCCAAATAGGCAGAGGATAGTAGTGGGGTAAATCCAGGAACGGCTTGGCGAAATTTGGAAACAAGCCATGGCTAAGGGAATGGAAACAAAGCCAACATTAATTGATGTTTGCTCTTTTTGCCATCTTGGGAGTAATGAAAACTGAGGATATCTAAATGGTTTTGGATGGAAGTTTCATCCATCTGCAGCTGAAATGGAAAGCTGTGCTCTCGAATATTCCATAGGTGAGCCAGTCAAACGGTCCATTGTCAATGAACTTCTTGTTCATTATGGCTGGGGTAGAGTCTCACTTCAGTGTTCTCCATCACAAACGTGGGACTGAGGAGCTACTAATGGAGGGTGAACAACGGGCCAATGAATGTTTGAAAGTAAGTAAGACATTGGCTGGTGGGTTATTTGTGTACTTGTGGGAGGCAAGGGACTTGTAGGAGATCAAACCCAAAAGGACATGGATGGAGTTGAGTAGGCACTCTATTATTTGCCCACCCTATTTTGCACTGTGACCCTGAAATCTTTAACACACGGAGTGGCACGTATTCGTTTACACATGTATCTCTCCTTCAGACTGCCCCTTGCCTAGCATTACACTCGACATATAACAGACATCCAGAATATTTTTGTTAGATGTCTTCAATCTCTTGCAAATTTATAATTGTTCAGTTAAAAAAATTGAACTGGAAAATGATCAGACTTGCCATCTTTTCTATATTGCACCCCTCCCCCGCTGCCCCCCACCACCACACCCCTTTCCCATACTGGTGCTAACTCTACATTGGGAGAGGAAGTCATCATTTCTTAGACTGTATTTCATTTTTATTTACGACTGGGCCCATTTCCTCTGTTAGTCTACAGTTTCTCACTCAGGGGGGCAGGTAGCTAATTGATAATTCATACTTTTACCCTAACCCAGAAATAAAGTTGTGGAAATTCAAACATCAGACAAAACACTCGGTGGAGGACCCACCACTGCATAGAGACCCCCACTTTATGGTGGTTATATTTGAAAACACTTTGCTTTTTCACGTGGATGACGTACACAGGAAAATTCACTCCTTAATATTTTAGATCACGCTATGTAAAGCTTACCCAGTTTTAGTGCCTGTGGGAAAGTGCTCTGAGATAATTCACAAGAAGCTATGGAAGAGGGTAGAGGGAGATTAATGGTAATGGAGAAAATCCAATAAAAATTTAAAACAAGAAGAAGAAACTAACCTGTCATGAGTCCAATGCTTTTCTGCATATTATCTCATTAAATACTCATAATAACTGTAAAACATATATCACTTTCCTAAATTCCCAGGTGAGTGTATGGGAGATCCGAGACATCCAACCAATGGCTGCAAACTGCATGGTCAAGAGTTGAATTCAGCTCTTCCTGCCTCCCACTGGGGTCCTTTGGACTGCTCCTCTCCGCCTCATTCTGGTGGCCCTTCTTCCTCAGCTGCCGGAACTAACCTAACGGCAGTCATCCCCACAGCGAGGGAAGAAGGCGTTCCTAGGAACACACTCACACTAATGACTATGGCTTAATACACAGGGCTCCCCGGGGAAACTGCAGTTTGAAGGTGGGCCAGACAGAAGGAAGATGAGGCTCATTTCAGGAACGTCAGTCACCTGGGTGGAATTGCAGGTGTCCAGGGGGAGAAACTTGGCTAAGGGCCATGAAGGTAGGGAGGGGCTGCTGGGTCACACTGCAGTTGCCGCCCACCCTACTCTTTCGCAAGGTGGTCTCAGGAAGCTGCGTAGTTCCTCTGGGTAGTTAAGTAAGGTAGACACTGCTGTCATCGAGGTCAATGAAACCCTTGATGAGACAATGCTGAGACCGTGGAAATCATAATTTGGAATCAAATGACAGCAACTGTGAGCAATGCTGACAAAGGGGAAAATTTTGCCAAGAACATCTGGGGTTGGCCGCCCTCCACCGCCTCCCTCGGACAAGAATGCACGGAATGTGCCTTCTCCCGGCAATGCTGCTGGCCTTGCCGAGGCCTCTCTCGCTGTGAGTGGTATTCGAGTAGAAAAGATTGCCCTAGGAAGGCAATCTGTGTGTTGGCCATCTTTCACAGGGGGGTCTTAATGGGGTGGCATCTGGGGCTCTACATCTAGAAAGTTCATCTATGCTGACGATGGATTTTTCACTCACTGCAAGCCACCACCTTCTCCGTGCATCTCAGAGACCTAGGACTATGCCCACGTTCCCTGGGCTGCTAGCAGTCCCCGGGATTATCAAATTCTCCATCCCTTCACTGTTCTAATGCTGTTTCCAGCTGGACTTCGTTGGGAAGGTCAAGCAGAAGAGTGAATTCTGCTTCTGCTTCACTCGAGGATAAGCAGGAGGGCAGGGCTTTCTGTTTGTTTGGATCCCTGCTCTGTCCCTAGTGTCTAGAAGAGCACCCAACACATAGTAGGTCTTGTGAAAAGAAAGGGAAGGAAGTCAAAGGTCACTCCTGAGGACCAGTGAAGCTCTGTCTGGGTTTCCTAAGTGCACTTCCTGGCTGCACCAGGTCAAGGCCAGGGCAGTCCTCCACCCTACTAGTGCCTCGCAGCTCGGCTGAACGGGATAACAATGCTAGTGGCATGTGCAGGCTTGTGTAAGCAAGGCGCACCCAGGCACCTGGAAAGAACGTGGCGTCACGCAGGGCACGGGTTTGCTGCTCAAACCCAGGTCGTTTCTCTTCCCATTGCTCTCCTCATGTCGGAGGACTCAACGGTGGCTCTAGCCGAATGGGCAGAAAATGAGGGGGGCGGTGTCTGACTTAGCTGCAAACAGCTGAGAAGTCTCTGGGGGGCTCATCACTGGGCCCTAGAAGCCTGGGCTTCCTTCCCTCAGCCCCTTCCCCATGGAAATACATACGTTCTCCAAAGCTTGCTTTTCTGCCAGAGAAAATGAGAAAAGGCGTCTCATCAAACCTTAGCAGGAGTCCTTAATCCAGAAGGCCTGGGCAGAGCAGCGGGAGTGTCCTGGGGCTCCCAGACCCCTTCAGAGATGATGCGTCTCCTGGAGGCCGTTCTTCTGCCCACAGAGCCAGAGCCACAGCCACAGTCACTGCCCGGTGGGACTCTCTGGGACTCTCAGCTCCTAATGTCGGGCTCTTGTTTCACCTCCTTCCTTTCCTACTCACTCTGAGTCCCGTGCTCCAGCACTTGCCTCATCGCAGAACCCGTTCCAAACCTGGCCAGTCAACCAAGACTGCGTGAGCCTGACCTGCACGTCAGAATCACCTGGTAAACATGTGGGTTCCTGGGCTCCATCCCTGAATGGGATTCAGCAGGTACAAGAGGCCCTGGAATCTGCATTTATATACCCTGAGTGATTCTGATGCAGGAGGACCAAGGACCACCGTCCCTCATCCATCCACTAGGCTGGTTGGCCCAAAGCGAGACTTTGGCTCCATGCCACAGCCTTGGACCTTGGCAGGGTGGTAGGAGAAGTGGATGCAAATCATCCAGGGAGCGTTTTCAAAGCTACACAAAGAACCTGCAACCCTGAAATTCCTTCCTGGACCTCTGGGCCATGGAGAGAGCGGGAAAGGTAACAAACCCTCAGGTGATCCTGACATCAACCCCTTCACAGGCACATGTCACTGCCTGTTTGTGACTGTCCCATCCAATGTAAACTGCTTGCCCAACACGGGCCCTGAATGCTTGTGGTTAGCATTGAATAAAATCCCACAGTCGGGATCTGACAGTTTGCATAGCACACAGATGAGTAAAATCCTCCAGCCCAGCATGACCTTTCACCCCACCCCTCCTGAAGGCTGTGACCTTTTTCCTTACATAAAGCTTGCAACTTACACAGGTCAAATGATAACAACCTGCCAGCTGCTGTTTACTTCATTCCTGCTTGACACCAAGCAGTGCGCTAGCTGCTTTGTCTGTCTCTCATCTTTAGAGCAATCCTAATTCTATGTATATGTAATGTACGCAAGTATATAATTGCATGTTTCACATCATATAATATATAATTATATTTATATACATTATACTATCATTTATTATATAATTATATATAAAATGTTTCCACTACTTCAGGCTGGGGAGCCAAGCCTCTTCAAAGCTCATGACCACTCAGCTAAGAAAGGTTCAAGTTGAGCTCAAGGTCGGGGCAGTGTTTGGCAAGTTCACTTCTTCCCTCTACCCTGATGGGTAGACGCCTCCTACCTCTGTGGCACCGCATGCCCGCCACCTCAACATTTTCCTCGCCTCATTTCTCTGCCATCTGCCCCAAAGGCCATGTCCACGTGGGCTCTGGGTTTCCGGGCGGACAACCTGGGAACTGTCCCACTCAGTGTCTCACCTGCTGGAGAAGTCTGGGGCCAGTGGGCTCAGAATGTTGGGAACTACCAGCCCCACCTCTGATTTTGATCTCATCAGTGGGGGATGCCCCTCTTTTACGTCATCACGACGAAGACTGTGATGATAAAATTGCTTATAGAATCTCTTCCCGTAATCTTTACCTTTGGAAACAATTTTAAATGTTTCTTTGGCAATTTTGCGAGGTGACAGAAGAGGTGGCCTTGTCCTTGTTTTTTAGGCAGGGAAACTGAAGGCCAATGGCAGTGAGATCTGTGTCCTTTCCACATTTATCCGACCTCAGGGCCTCACCTTGGGCTCAGGTTTCCTGATTCCAAGTTCAGTCGTGTTTCCTCTCGTGAGAAGTTGAGATGGCCTGGCTACAGCCGCAGAATTCTGGTCCCAGTTTATTCCAGGGTGCTGCTTTTCAGAGGGTGGCAGTCAAAATATAATTTGGTGAATTGCACACAGGATTTTAATAAAACGCTGCAGAAAAAAAATTAAATACCGAGTGCACTTCAGAGTTTAGCTGTTTGTTTTTTTCTCTGAAACGTTTGTTTGGGTTATCAATATACAAATACCCATTTATGACACGCTGTCCGTTGTATGCGCCTCGCCGTGGCACAAGGACGCTGAGTGAGAAGCCACATCCCTGACCATGGACGGTGCCCTCCACCAGCACGTCTCTTATCGTCACTGGAGAACACGCGTTCTGGCTGGTTGGGGCGCAGCCCTCACAGCAGAGCACCGTTCTGAAGCACACCGCTGTTTTGCAACTGGCCCATTTATCACTCCACTTTGACCTCATAGTAGAACCCTCCTCCTTCAAAGAGAACGCTGCACTTGCCTTCACGTCACTGAATTTAACTTGAGGGCATAAATGGGCTCGATTTCCTTTCTTTTAGAGCAAGATGTTTCCCTTTCCCCTTTTTCGCTTTCCAAAGGAGATAATTTTTAATTATTTTTTAACAGTTGCTCCTGTGGCAATAATCCTCATAAATTACTCATATGCTCCGCCAGGACTTAAAAAAAAAGGTACAAGAACATTATCTGGACAGTGAGTGAAAAGATAAGAGAAAAGGACATTCTCGAGGTGAAGTCAGCCAATCAGGCTATCATGACTTCACATCTACAGTAAAGATGCCGGAAGTCACAAGAGAGGCTGAATGAATCACCTGCTTTTCCCAGCAGAGATTTAGCGCCCCCTTGGGTGGGATGGGACGTGCGGGAAGCTCTCGCTAGCAGCGGCAGGTGGAGTAGGCCAGCGCTGAGATCAGCCCTGAGTTCACTCGGGGAGCAGGGCGGCCCCAGGAGTGAACCACAGCCTCCCTGCTCCACCTGCCTAGCAGGCCAGACAGCACCTGCTGCAGGCTCAGTTGCACCATCTGCATATCTGCACAGGTGCAGTGCATCGCGTGAGCCCTGGGGATGAATGGCCGTGTGTACCTTTGGGGTTTCCAGACGGCTTGTGTGACACTTTCAATGCAACACCTTTGCATTAGAAGTGATCTAACTTCTCACAGCAAAGACCTTCCCCAAGGCAATGAATATTGATTTGATCAGAAGCAAAAAAAAAAAAAGAAATGTTGCAAAAACTTGGATGAATATAAAAAACATTATGTGGCTTCTGGTCAAGATGGTGACGTGGGCAGACATGGCTTGCCTCTTTGATAGGGGCTTAAGACTTGGGAAAATTTAGCTTAAGGTAAATAGTCATAAATCTAGCAAGTAACGTGTATGTTAAGTTTTTGTTTCAGTAACTACAGATAAGGCCCATCCTAGTGCCTGAGAATAAGCAGCTGACCTCCTGGAGACATCTGTACCAGGAAGAAGCAAGTGACCACCCTTCCCCCCTTGGAGGCAACTGTTGAATTTCAAAGGCTCTCGCTGACACCTTGTTTGCCCTCCCCCTACCCCTTACAAAAGATCTGGCTGGGAAAGAAAGAGTAAGATGGTTTGTTAGGGTATGAACCCGCCATCTTCTCGGGTCGCCGGCCACCTGAATAAAGCACCTATAAAAGATTCAATCACTGTCATTGCTTATTGGATTTGGTAGTGACAGGCAGCCCGAACGCCGGTGTCTTTTCTGGTTACATCTTCACACAACCACATCAAAATTACAACTAAAATATAGAACAACCATTGCTCAGGAATGTCAGAAATTAAGTCGAATGGGAAGTCTGACAACTACAGAATTGAAGAAACCATATTCATCCAGATTGATAGGAGGGGCATGGATGTGGAACGGGCTGGCCCCGCATCCACAGGGACAAACATTCAGGCGGGATACCTTAGGAGAATGGAGTCCCAGACCCACAGGAGGCCCCCCAGTCCAGGATTCCAGTGCTAGGATGCTAAGTTCCCACAACTGCTGGCTGCGAAAACCAGTGGGGATTGAGTCAGTGGAGGAGGCTGCTGGAGCCCTAAGCAGTTCCTGTTGGGGAACCCACACACGGACTCACCTACTCAGACTCATAGCCTCTGAGCTCCAGCACCGGGGTGGCAACTTGCAAGGCACCAGAGATACACAGGGAGAGACTGAAGTGTCTGGCATCAGGGTGAGCAGAGGCCATGATACCCATTGTTGAGCCCTCCCCCAACAGAATCGGTAGGCTGGTGCCATATCTGAGACTCCATCAACCTGGCTAACACTGTGTGACCCACCTTGGAGATCCACAGAAGCTCTACCCCACCCAACTTATGGGCCCACCTAAGCTGCTTTTCCATAACAATGACTGGTCTTGGCTCCTAAATCCTAGCAAACAAGCAATGGCTGGCTTCAGTGAGCCCTCGCTGCACCAGATTAGAGGCATAGCTTGACTTCACCTGGAAATCTCCAAGCTCAGCACAAGTAGCAGCTATTTCAGATTGCTGCACAGCTCAGACAGGGCACCATTGGCATACATAGAAATAGGTTGAGGCTGACCTTGGCCTCCACCACCTGGGGAAACCCCAGGGCCAATGCACCCAGTGGGCAGCTACAGACCATGTCAGAGCACCACTACCCAGCCCCTGCACAGCTGATCCTCCAAGGAGGATGGAGGTTGGTGGTAATAGGTCATATCCAATCCTTGCAGCTGACTGGCCTGGGTAAATCCCTCCCATTGATCTGCCAGCAGCAACCAAGTCTCAACTATGAGAGAAGGGTGTACTCAGCCCACACAAAGGGAACACCTCGAGTACTCAGCTTGGGTGACAGAGGAGGCTGTGTCACTGGAAACTACAGGACACCTACTATATTAGGCCACACTACCAAGATACGGAGTCAAAGCAGCTCTACCTAATACATAGAAACAAACACAGGGGGGCTGCCAAAATGAGGAGACAAAGAAACATGGCCCAAATGAAAGAACACATCGAAACTCCAGAAAAAGAGCTAAACAAAGTGGAGATAAGCAATCTATCAGATACAGGGCTCAAAACACTGGTTATAAAGATGCTCAAGGAACTTAGTGAGGACCTCAGCAGCACAAAAAAGACCCAGTCAGAAATGAAGGATACACTAATTGAAATAAAGGACAATTTACAGGGAAACAACAGTACAGTGGATGAAGCTGAGAATCAAATCAATGATTTGGAACATGAGGAACCAAAAAATCAGAACAAGAAGGAAGAAGAATCCAAAAAAATGAGGATAGTGTAAATAGCCTCTGGGACAACTTTAAGAGTCCCAACACTCACACCATAAGGTGCCAGAAGAAGAAAAGAGCAAGAAATTGGAAATCTATCTGAAAAAAATAGTTAAAGAAAACCTCCCTAATTTGGTGAAGAAAATGGACATGCAAGTCCAGGAAGCACAGAGAGTCCCAATTATGATGGATGCAAAGAGGCCCACTCCAAAGCTTAAAGATAAAGAAAGACTCTGAAAAGGAAAAGAAAAGAAATTAGTTACCAGGGGATTGCCAGATGGGAAGGGGGTGGGGAGAATGGATGAAGAGGTGAGGGGATTAAGAAGTACAAACAGGTAGTTACAGAATAGTCTTGGGGATGTAAAGTACAGTATAGGAAATAGAGTAGCCAAAGAACTTATACGCATGACCCGTAGATTTGAACAATGGTGGGGGGATTGCCTGAGGGAGTAGGGGTGCTGGGGGGAGGGGGGCAAAGGGGGAAATATCAGGATAACTGTAATTGCATAATCAATAAAATATAATTTTAAAAAGCAAATAAAAAACATCATGCTGTGCCAAAGAATCCAGACACAAACTTGTATGATTCCATGAGTGGGGGGGGTGGGGGGAGAAAGAAAAAAATATATATATAAAGCAGAACTGCCTAGAACAAGCAGAACTAATCTATGGTGATAAAAATTCGATCAGTGGGTGCCTGGGGTGGGAAATAGGGGGAGATTGTCTAAAATAAACCATGAAGGAGTTTTCTGCAGTGGTGAAAATGCTGTGTATCTCGATTGTGGAAGTGGTTAGAAACTTACATACTTTAAGAAAAAGATTCTCACCCAAGGATATGTTTACCAATTTTAGAGAGAGAGAGAGAGAGACACTGATCAGCTGCCTCCCTCACGTGCCCTGACCTGGAACTGAAACCGCAACCCAGGTGTGTGCCTTGACTGGGGATCGAACCCACAACTTCTTGGTGCATGGGATGACTGTCCAACCAACTGAGCTACCTGGCCGGGGCCAAAGTTACATACTTTTGTAAAAACTTATTTACTGAACATATAATGCACATCTTATTACATATCCATTATAGTTCAATAAAGATGATTTGAAATAAGGAACGAATCACTGATCCATGAAACAAAAACAAATGAATCTCGAACATTCTTCTGCATAAAAAGAATCCAGACACCAAAAGGACGGGAACATCCTGTAAGATTCCACGGTTGATGGAAATCAGAACAGTGACCTCTGAGGTGGGGGTGCATGGGGACTGACTGGAAAGGGACACAGGGGATTTTCAGGAGTGATGAAACACCCCGTATCTTCATGGCACATAATGACATAGGCGTATATAATTATAGACACCCAGACTGACAATGTATAGTTTATATTGTATGTAAATGATACCTCAATTAAAAAAAAATCCATCCTCTCCCCTCCCTTTCCCTTCAAAACATTTTACTCTGTAGGACTCCCCTACTGCCCTGGATTTTTTCTATTCTATTTAATCTGAAAACAAAAGAGCATCTTTGAAATTGGGTCTGTCCTAGAAAATTTAGAATGGAAACAGTGCTCTTCAATCAAAGTGAGGACAGGCAAAAAAAAAAAAAAATCTTTGTAAAGCTGGCTATATACAACATTTTTCAAAATAGATCAAATTAGAGTTACCTGTTCCTTCTGTGGCTTGAGCTTATTCCTTTCTAGAACTAAGTCCAGTTTCCTGTCTTCAGTCCCGTCTTCCGCTCCTTCCTGTGGCCACTCACTGGAGTCTCGAGTCCTCCGCCTTAGGACTGGGCTGGCACAGGACGATGGCTTTACCCAGCAAAGCTCACCGCCTTCCCGTGGCTGTGTTCACTGGAACCACCCTCTCCCGCGGTCGCCCCCTTTGGCACCTCATTAAACGAAACAGACAACCAGATCCAGATTTTTCGGAAACACAGACAATGAGGAAGGTAGACATATCAGAAACATTTCCCCCTGAGTGTTCGTGATAAAATAATCGAATTGAGTTTCTCTAGAATTTTGTATTAAGTGACTTAGAGTCTCAGAAAACCGCAAAGTAGCCCTATCACCCACTCATCATCCTTTATGTACCCCCCAAAACAGAACAACACCCCAGTATCATGCCTTCCTCATGGGAATGAAGCAGTCCATACAACTTCAAAGCATGCGAATTAGGTCCAGATATTCAACGTGCCAGCCTGAATTGTTGTTTTTGGTCAAACCCAGCAATTTTCAAAACCGGTGTGCTGCAAGAATTTATAAAACAGGCAATACCTGACTATTTAGTCAGGGGTGCTGACCTCTTTTCCTTAGATTGTCAAATTTAAAAAAAATGACAACAGCCAACACAACAATAGCTGTCTGGTGTGAATCAATCAAAATGATACCTATTTTTTGGTCAGATCCGCAAAAGATATATTTTTTGGTGTGCTGCAGAATATTAAAAATTATAATGGTTTGTGTGATACCAGGTGACACTGGCTGAAAACAGCTGGTCAAAGCCACCGAAGGAGTAGATGCAGGTGACCTTCAAAATATGTACACGCTCCGGGTTCCATCCATCGTCTGTGTCACCATCCTTTTTCACTTGCATGACACGTTTGCTGATAAATTAATCGTCCCCTCCCAGCCTGTTTATTCTCTGTATGTCTCCGGTGACACCGACCGAGTCTCAGGTGTGCTAGGGGACACGTGCCTAGCAAAACTATAAAACGGGCAGACAACCCAGCTAGAAAGCCACCCCACAGCACCTAACCCTGAATGTGGCATGGGTAACTGGTCCAGTGCATGTGGCGAGGTGGAAGGTAGGGAAAATCTGTCCTTCAAGGGAAAAACTAGGCACTGTTTGAGCTATTGTACACCTTTGCAAATTGCAGGAACTGACAGCAACTCGAGATCACTCCTGTCTAGAGCCATGCAAACCAGTTCCGTCCAGTGAAGCAACTGCCCTCTTGCCTTAGCCCACGTGGACAACCAAATTCGCCTGCATTTCAGAGTTCCTGATCTAGAAATGTACCCATTCTTTGGATTCTCCTTTGATCTGGTTGGACCATCCTTACCAGTTTTCTCATTAATGAGTTAATACATCCTTGAATACGTGTTCGTTTTTATATGTGTATGAGAGGCACGACTTTCTCCTTTTCCAGAAATTATCTTCTCGTGTTTGTTACCACCATTCACAGTGCCTCCAACCTATCCAAGTAACCTCCAATTTATTCATCTCATCGTAAATCACTTGCTAGTGGTTGTTAAATTACCAAAGCAGCTTTGACAGTGTGACATCTCACTGTGGACCTTCCCAGACTTAGGCTTATTGTTTTTTTTTTCTCTCCAGACTTGGGTTTTCTGTGGACAATGGGGCCCAATGGAAAGAGCATGAGTTAGGGGTTTGAAGTTGATGTTCCTCCTGCCCCACTGCTGTTTGTGGCAGGGACTCCACCTCTCCCAGCCTGTCCGTAAGTGTGAATAATTGCACCCACCTCACAAGGCTGTCTCGGGGCCGCTCTATCTGGTCCTGGGCTCAGCTCAGCTTCCTTCCGCCTCTGCCCTGGAAGTCCAAACGGTAGATTTAACCCGGATGAACACAGCTGGGCACTCACAGGTCACAGACAGTGATTTCAGAAAGGTAAATAATTCACAGGACATAATCTCCCCTAAACTGATAAGGCGCCACAGGCCAAATACATTTACCTCTGAATATTTATGCTTGAAACGCATTCACCGTTCCCAAACTTGAATCACTCTTGCTGGTCTATGACAGTACTGACGGGACGAAAGTAGTTGTGTCCATTTCAGCTACTCCTAAGACAGGCCGAAGGAAAACACATCGGAATTTAGCAGTGTTTTGCTCTATTTAAAACAGGTAGCATAATGAAAACACACCTTTGGCCCTAGGAGACCCTAATGCGCTCAGATACCGGCAGGAGTGTTTTCAGAAAACATCGTCTCTTTCACCCTTTTCACACGGTACAAGCTGAAACCTTTTGCATAAAGACAGCAGCGACACTGGCTTGACCAATTGTTGCTGTGCGTGTTATTTGATGAATTAAGTATCCTTCCCCGGATGGCTGTGCTTTCTTTCAGCTTCAGTTAAAGGGGTTCTCAGATGAGTCCTGGATCTCTCAACTCCCAAGACCCCTCTCTTTTCCCCCATGGGGCCTAGGCGACAGTTTCAGGTGGGGATCTGGACTTCTGTGCTGAGGCTTCTCTTCAGCGGAGGGACAGGCTGGCCCTTCGCCAGCATCCGAGATGCCATTAACCTGCTTTTCCACCTGGCTGAGAGTTAGAAGTCCTGGCACACCTACCTACCTGGGCGAGTCTGTGCCCGTGAGCTGTGGTTGGAGGAGATCCAGGGCCGTAGCGGGAGGAGGCTCGCGAGCGTATCCAGTCCCAAACACGCGCTGCAGCAGCGCGGGGACCTGCCTCACCTGCGCTCCCCAGTCTGGGGAAGGGGGAGTGCTGCGGCCCAGAGATGATGCATCTCTTCAATTCATTCACCTTCCCAAGGAGCCACTCTTACCTATGGAAGGCGGTTTCGGCTCGCAAATCGCTCACATCTCTGGATGATCAGCTGCGGGAGACCACGACCTTCAGCCATCCCTCTAGTGTAGCCAGGCGCTGAAGGTAGGGGTGGAGCCAGGACAGAGCCCCGAAGCCCCGCCCAACGTATCGTATTGGCCAGTTACGGGCGTCCAGAGGTTTAAACTGGAGGCGGAAACTCTCAGACCGTGGGCAAACACCAACTTCAGACCTTAAAGCAAGGGGCAATTTAAAGGAATATACTGATAACCAGTGTCAATGCAATAAAACAGGGCGGCCTGAGTGCAGGGTCGATCTTTTATAAATATTACCTTTGCTATACACTCATTTATTTCTCCCCCAAACTTACGAGTGAGGTTCAGCCCTGATCCTCATTCTGCACATGAAGAAACTGAGACAGAAAGAGGAAAACCTAATAAATAGAAGAGGCAGGGATCATTCTTGTTTTTATCTGGGCACCCTGGCTCCAGCGCCAATGTTTATGATCACTGTATTTTTTCTTTAAAGGGGATGGGGTGGGGTGGTTTTCTGGCATGTTGAGAATTTTCTAATACAAATAGTTCATATGTTAAACACTTTTTATTAAACAGAGGTTTAAAAAGCATTGTAACGTCCTCATTGGTTAAAGTGGAATTGAAAAATTTGTTTAGCTGTTGGTGGGAATGGAAAACCCTCCCCCAAGAAAAACACTGCTTGGTTTCTGAGGGCTGCCCGTGGGAATGAAGCTGATCAAAATTACCCGCGTTGTCTTGGGTCGCTGTCCTGGTGGTTTTGATTTTCTGCGGTCACCCTCCTATGATTTGCGGAAATCCTCCTGTACATGACCGTGATGCACTTCGGGGTCGGAAATGCCCTGTTCCTAGTGGGACAGATGCCCTTGTGAATTTCATGTCCCCCCCAGAGTTTACCACACTGTGACATTTTCTTGAAGGTTGAGGATGTCATGGTTTCTTCACACCTTTCACCAAGAGACGACCTCAGTTTGGATCTTGAGGAGTTTACTTCTGTGTTTCTTTGATGTGTCGCAGACATAGATAGCCTAAACCAGAGACATGATGTCTACATTTGGTTCTCTGTGGTCCAGTGGTGGGAGGGGTGTATGTGGGTGATGTTATAGATGACCAGAGACGGACCATGTGTTGATAATTGTTGACCTGGGTGATGGTTCTTAGGAACGTATTGTACTGTTCTCCACTTTTGTGTCTGTTTGGCATTTTCCACAATTCAAAGAATTTGAAAAGCATCTTGAAACCAGGAAAAGGACCTGCAGGTCTGGCTGCCCACCACTGTGAAAACCAAACTCGTGAGGCACGTTCTGGCCGAGAAGGAACGGGATTTATTTAGGTGTCGACAACCTGAGAAGATGCCAGGCTCCTGTCTCCAAAGCCACCTTGGCATCTCCGCTGTCCCAACTGGGTTATATAGGGGAACCGTGGGAAGAGGGGGCTGAGGGAATTCTGGCCACGTGCGGCTTCTCAGCTCTGCTCTTGGGTGGTCTCACTGTAATCTCCAGCATGTGTCATCCTGCAGTTCCGCTGCTCCATCTCCAGTTCTACTGCTGACGGGACAGGCAGCATTTCTCCTGGTTCTGATGGGAACTGCTGTTGCCTGTCTAGTTCTTGTGGTCAGGGTGTTCCTCGGTCAGGCAGGAACTGTGACAACTGATGTGTACAAAGTACTCATAGGGAAATTTTTAATGCATGATTTTTCTATGAGTCTGTTAGTACAACCTATTCTATAATTATTACTTCATTAGCATATTATGTTTTTTTCATTCACTGTTACAATCTATTCATTAAGAAGCAACTCGTTGAGTACTGTGCTACGTTGCTGTTCTAGGTGCTGGATGTATCAGGGAACAAGAGAGTTGGTGATCTTTGCTTTGTAGAATGTGTATGTTCATGGGATGAGGGGGAGGGAACACCATAGAGTAAACGTGACCAATCCATGGATTTTAGGGTATGTTGGAAAGTGTCAAGCACTGTGGAAAAGAAAAAAGACAGAGGTCGGATGAGGATGTGGAATGATGGAGAAGGGAGCTGAGGCCTGAGCCCCAGGGAGTCAGGGCTGGGGAGGGACCTGCAGAGGAGTCTAGAGAGGAGCAGCAGTGAGGGGCGGAAGGAGAGGGGAGGGGGTTTTCGGAAGGAGGGAGGGAGCGGGCTGGTGTGGGCGTGTTCGGGAGGAGGGCATGCTCAGCTGTGTCTAGTGCTGTGGCTGCAGCTGTGGCTGTGGGAAGGGCTGTGGTCAGCAGACCTGCTGCCACCAGAAGCAACGCTGCTGGGAGGTGGCCCGGCCCGGCCTCTGGACAGGTGCTGCAGGTGACTCTCCCATGGGTCAGGTGCTCTCTCTTCCTGCCAGTCCTTCACCATCTGAGAGTCACAAGGCGGACATGAGACTGGTTCTCAAGCAGAGGAGCTTAATCTCCATCCCTTGGTTCATGAGTTCTTGCCTCCAAAGGAAAAGTACCAGCACAGAACTTCTCCATCCATTGCCCGTCAGGGTATGAACCCAATGATTCATACTCTGAATCAGAGTGATGATTTTCATGCAATGTTTTCTTGAAATTTCACTGTTAGAATGTTCGTTGCTATTTCTTCCCCCCTTTCTGCTACTGTTTTCCATTTCTGCAAACCTAAGTCATTTCTTTCTCAATAAACCATATCATATTGGCCTCAAAATCTCATCAACATCTCCTTTATTTTTCTTATCGGAATGTGCCTCACCCAAAGATGGAATTGAATCCGTAAAGTAAGACCCTGATGTTTGTTTGAGATGGGTTTGGTGTAATTAATGGATAATCTATCTCTAATAGGTTTTCACACATAGTTAAGATTGGGTGGCTTAAACTCTCCTCTTACATAAGTTAGAAAAAGGATTCTGAAAACATTGTATTTTGGAACTCAACATTGAATGCCTAAAGCAATGTCTATCTATTTAGGTCTTGGTTATTTCAGTTTGGTTCTGTGAACAGTTTAAAATCTGGTTACAGTTTAGTGGGATTATTTTATTCTATCACCAGTGCTAGTTAATGATCTGTTTGACATGTTATGGTTACAAATTACTAGTGTGGTTATAAGTGAATACATCTATTAGTAAGAGCTGTGGGTAAAACATTACCCACTTTGGTTATTTTCCATCCTTAGTAAACAAGAACATAGAAGTGAGGACATCACATAGCATCTCTCCGAGTCCCCTGCGGGGAAACCACATCAGGGCCCAGTGTTGGTAAACCCATCTTCCAAATGCAGTGCCTTTTCTAAATGTACTACTATTCCTTAGGATTTCTGCCCACATCTGCTCCGTGTGGAAAGTGAGGGCTGGAGAGAGGGGCAGCAGAGGGCCTCAGTGGGGTCAGATGGCTGTCCCGGGGCTGTGGAGGGTGCTTTACCCCCCACCCCCGTTCTTGCCCCCAGCCCTTACCCCAGGACCACAGAGGTCTGGTCCTTTCTCTCTCCCACTCACAGTGAGCTGATGCTCCAGAACTGCTGCTTTTAAAGCAGTGCGGGAGGTACTGGTCGGGGGCACGCACCCAGTAACAAAGGCACAGGTGCTTCCAGAGACAGAGAGGCTGCATGCGCCAGGGTTGCCCAGGACGGAGGGCACAGGGCCCTTCCCGCCGGGCCCAGTTTGTTCAGATGTCTCCGGAAGATGCCAGGCTTGCAGGGTGGGGCTGGTGTCACTCTTTGCTCAATGCCAGCCGTCACATAATGGGTGCCTTGAAGGAGCCCGGGATGGGTTTGGCGTAATTAGTGGATAATCAGTTACTAACATAAAATAGATAAAATCTCGTTGGGGTAGCTCTGGAGATCACCGACTCCGATGGACATGGCATTGGGCAGGACGGCCTCCTGAAGAATAAGAAGCGATGGGGGAGTAACCTGTCCGGTGACCTGGGACCAGAGCATCCCGGACCGTGGGAAGGGACCCGCGAGAGGGCAGGACAGGGAAGGCAGCGGGAGTGGGAGGTTCAGCCAGGTAAACTGGGTGGGGGATGAAGGTGGGGGGGAGGGTGGGGTGGGGTGGATTGTATTTCACGGTGTCGTTGTAGGTCATTGTGAACTTCAGCTTTGACTGTGAGTGACATGCAACTGGGATAGGGTTTGAGTTTAGAAAGGATGTGGCCTGCCTTACACTCTAAAATGATTGCCCTAACTGGCGCCTGGAGAATTTCCCTGTGGCAATTTCCCGGGGTGACATGACTAGATCAAAGATTGCCTGTGCTTTGCATAGTGACGACAGGCACAGAACCACCCTCTGTAAGGAGTGTCTGTTCCCACCCACAGCCCACGCTGCCTGCTTTACACCTGCTTCTCACCGAGTGCTGTTTCCATTCACCAAACAACATTCGATACAATTAAAGTAACATCATGTTAATATAGCAGACAAAAATCAATAGTATTTGTCTTAATTATTAATAACGTTGAGCATCTTTTTCTAGACACTATTTATTAATCTTTTATATTTTAAACTCTTTACTATTAACAAAATCCTCAGCAAACCTATATGATAAACTCCCATGTATCTGCTTCAATGACAATTCATGGCCAATTATTTTGAAGCCAATTTCTTTTTTTTTAAGATTTTTTATTTATTCACTTTTAGAGAGGGAAGGGAGGGGGAGAGAGAGAGAGAGAGAGAGAGAGAGAAACATCAATGTGCGGTTGCTGGGGGTTATGGCCTGCAACCC